GAGCTATTCAAGCCTCAGGTGGATACTCAGCAACCCGATGTAAATAGACATGCTTTGAGAAAGGTGTTGCAGTAGCTGACCTCTGGAGGTCCTTTTCAACCTAAATTATTTTGTGGGCCTACAACCAATTAAAGTATTCAATTTTTTATGATAAATACTTGATAGAGAATCAATGACATTCCATTAGGAAAACACAGTATTAATTCCCATGTTAATTCTTTGTGTTACACCTATGTTTGAGCTGAGTAACGTGCTGTTACACCAGGTTAATGCCCTGCTCTGAACAGGCTGCCTCACTCACTTGAAGCATAGCTTGTGAGACGAGTATCCCAATGAGCTGTTACTCCATGTCACCAGATGAATCCCAACTCAGACATAAACATCTGGGAAGAATAATCTTAAAGCATTCCTGTGCACCTCTGCAGTTAACACCAGACAACCAAAGCCCACAAACCTCAAAGAATTAACAAATAGCATCTTATAGAATAGAATGCTATATATATATATATATATATATATATATAACATCTTATATATAGAATGTTGCTTTGCCAGGGCTGTTGCTGTCCAGCTAAACTATGGCAGAGTTTGGGCATGCTGTCTGCACAGCACAATTCCTAAGGCAGGCAGATACTTCCTCTGAGGAATTTCAATCCCTCTAGTGGTGGGAGGGTGAATTACTAAGGGAAACCTCAATGTGCATTCTGGAAGTTAAACATACTAAGTGGGCTTTAGCAGGCATGTATTATCAACTGCATTTGAACTCATTCAACCTTCACAGGCATCCTTTACCTGACAACAGCTCGCAACAATCCATCACTTTGTTACTTCCTGACCCATGAATTGCATGTGAACCTTTAAGAGCCACACAGTCCATGAAACTATCCATTCCTTTTCCAACCTTTTCCTGCTTTGATTCTCTACATCTTGATACATGCATTGCACAACACAGAACTGCATTAACCTTTTCGGGTGTCTTACAGATGGCACTGCTTCACCCCCACTTCAGTTTTCATCTCTGAGCTTAGAAGCCTCTTTTAATGTCATTTGTCACAGATGCAGAATAAACTTATGTGCCGTTCTGTCTTCCAGTAAGAACACCCTATGACCATCAGCTCCACCTTCCCTGTCAATGAGCCACTTGTGAAGGACTTTGGAAACATCCCAACACAGCATGCTGCCCAAGAAACATGTTAGGGCAGTGAGATGTTTTTCAGTCTGCAAAAAAAACACACCTGTTTTTTTCACAGATTCATTTTCTTCAGTGTATCTCACACAGTTGAGAAGAACATGGCACAAGTAATGAAAGTTAACCAGATGTTTATTCAGCATGACCAACAGCTTGGCAAGTTAGCGCTTTCCACCAACACGGGGAGCAGAAACCTTGACTGGCTTCACAATCTTCTGCTTTGGTGCTGCCTTTGTAGGAGCCTGTAGAGAAATAGTTAGGTATGAACAAAGAGAAGCAATTCATCTGCAGCCTTGAAAGCATTTCTGCATATATTTTTGATACAAATGTAGCAATTTAAATCACCCCAGATTAGAATTACAATCTATCAGATGAGAATCATGTTAATAAATGTTTACACACATATCACTAAGCCTACAAAATGTATGAAGCCAGCATACGGTATTAATTCATAAGTAATAATGAAACCAATGGTGGCACTCATCAATATGTTGGTATTAAGCCCCTAGATAGTGAAAATGTTACATCCAAGCAAGTTTTTTATCTATTAAGTATCTCTAACATATAGCCAAAAAGTTGTTTTACTGTAATATTTATTTATTCTGTAAAAAAAACTTAATTCTGTTCAGCTATTTGGGTATGTTTAACTTTACTACAAAAGTCTGGTCAAGGTGTTTTCAGAGAAAAAAAAAAAAAAAGATATGCAAAATGCTTCCTCAAAACAGAAATGGGCATTTCCCATTAAGTCCTGCAGCAGAATGTTGGGTGTTGTGTTACAACGTGATGTATTCCAGTTCATAATTTCTCTTTGTCTACTGTATCTCACCTTTGCAGCAGAAACAGCTGTTTTCTTGGTTGCCTGCTTAGCCTTCTTAGCTTCCTTTGCAGCCCTGTTAATTAACAGAAAAAGAAGAATCGTTACCTGCGTCTGCCACTCCCTATTTCTTTGTCTCGGCACTGTAAGAGCTCCTTAAGGTCAGGAATTCATTATTCATTATTCCAGATTTCTCCTCCGCATGCAATACCCTCTAGGGAGACTATAACAGAGACAGCAGGACTGTGTGAAAAATTATTTTCACAACAGGAGAGGATGACCCTTCTTTGCTGCTACAGTCTCTTGCCAAGATATTACACACAAATATACTGATTAAAAACTAACTAAAAACCCCACTGATTTCTGACATCTCACCTGATAGCTTGTTCCCTCTGTGCTTTGCGTACTTCGGGCTTCTGGTTTCGTTTGGCCATAATCTCAGCCAGAGAGGCACCAGTGATAGCTCTCTGGAACTTGACAGCGCGGCGAGTGCGCTTCTTCTGTATCTCTTCCTACAATGGCACAAGAAGAAGAAAATTAGCATCACAAGACATTAAATAAGTGGCTAAAGACAATTACAGAAACAAGGTGCTATTGAGATTGAAGCTGATATAAAACTGTGCACTGAAGTAGAATTTTACCCCTCACTTTGGAGATTTCTTCTGTTGGTTACAGAGAAGTGCTGCCCTACCTCTGTGAGGCCCCTTCTCCAGCTACATCCTGTTCTTTCTCAGTGTGTTATTACCAACATTCCTTGGATGGCACCATGGCTATCCAACTCTCGGTGTTTGAGAACATGCATTAGCCCCCTTATCTTTGAGGCTTTTACAGCAAGGTACCAAGGAAAATTATTTTGGAAGAACATCAGAAGTTCAGCCTTCTATAACTCACAGAAGAAAAAAAAAGAGAGAGAGGGATAAAGCCCATTTGATGCAATCTTCTGAAAGGAAGACACTCCACACCTGTTTGGGGGGCATCGAGTGCTAGGCTGCAGTGTGAGCCATTGACCACCAAACTTCCCTTCTTCAAACAGACTGGTAAAAACACCGATTTTCAGCACTGTGTGAGCCTTTCTAAATGCTCTTCTGCTGTACAAGAGCACTAGAAATACCTCATGCTACATGCCTTAGTGATTCATCTTTTTCATGCAGTAACAACATAGGAAAGGCCTTCTGCTAAGGAACAGCCCAAGGTTTTCAAAGACAGTACGTGAAAAGTGCCATCCCTGCCCCCTAAACTCCCACATCATCTATGCTGTCACTATTCAGGAAGTTTACAAGACCAAACTTTTAAAAAGTCTGTATACTTTATAAATAGCATTACCCACCTTCCTTAAAGCTAATCTTTTGAAACATGCCATTCCTACAATTGTTAAGATCTACTGAACCTACTGTGGCTCTGAGTGGCCCCTCAGAGAAGGGCTACAACCCAAATACAATGTTTTTGCTGAACTGGTTACCTTTAAACCACAAAGCAGTGTATCAACTTATGAAACTGGGATCACATTTTCACCATAATTGGTCAGTCATCATCCTGGTTATATGGGTCACACTTCCACTGAACAGCAGTGTGCTCAAGTGACCTCCAACAGACCAGTGACCACATCTTTTGGCAGCCTTTAGTCGGTATATACTTACTGACTGTCCCTTCTTGTGTTTACGCCTGTACAGAACAGTCCAGTTGATCTGACGGGGGTTTCTCTTGGAAAGGAATGCAGACTCACATTTTGCATTCAAGAACTGAAAAACCTGTGAAGGCAAAGTATTTTATGAACGACATTATCACGGTTTGCATAAAGTAAATGTTTGACTCAGTGTTTTTCAACAGTGATGCCTTTGTATTTCTCTAACACAGCTCTGACTATTAAAAATTTTAGAAGATAACATCATACTTTTCAAGTGTCTGTCCTCAAGTAACTATGTACTACTTCCTGTATGTGGGAGTGAGTCAAAACTTGGCCTAAGGAAGACAGGGAGACCAATGCTCCACCCAGTTCCTTCTTGCACAGTTAAACGAACCTGCTTTTCTAAAACAACAGGCAGAATGAGCAGACTGATTTATTATTAGCTATACAGTTCGATTTTGAGTATAGCCTAACTCCTAGGAGAGCAAACAAGGACTCAACCAGTTTACTTCCTTAGCTGTCATTCCGTATAGCAAGATGACAGCGCTGGGATACCCAAAACCCAACCGCTCCCTTTGGAGGCTTGAAGGGACAGTCCTGTCTGCATGTGACACTAGGGCCTGAAAGAGTTCTCCTCCCTATTCCACCCCAACCATCTGCACCCAACTCATCCTCAAGACCAGCAGCAAACCCCAGCATGAGATGCAGGATGCCCAAGCAGAATACCTGCTGCTCTGAGACATCCTTTCCAAACCGCATCCTAAAACCCAGCCCCACGCCACAGCACCTGGACAGCGACGGTGCCCTCGCACCACTCAATACCCGCGACTCGGGCAGGCCCCGCAGCCACGCCAGCGGCATCCCCGGGCAGCACCGAAATGCGGCCGCCGCTCCCCCCGCACAGCGCGGCCTCTCCCCGGGACCCCCGCTCTCCCCGAGCCCGCCCGGCCCCGCGGGGCTCGATCCGGCCTCACCTTGCCGTCGGTGCGGGCGTAGCGCCGGCCGTGGCCCGGGTAGATCTTGTACCCGCTGAAGCTGCACAGCTCGACCCTGCGCGGGAGACAAGAGTTAGGGGAGGGCGCGGGGGGCCGGGGGAGGCGGCCGGGGGAGGCCGCCGGAGCCCCACGGCCGCCTCCCCACGGGGGATGGAGGCGGATGGGGCAGAGGAGATTCTCACTTCATGATGGCGGCGGCGGAGAGGGGCCGGAGGGGCGGGGAGCGCGCCGGGGCGGTGTCGGGAGCGCGCGGGGCCCGACGGGAGAGGGAGGGCAGGACCGGGAAGGGCCGCCCCGGCTGCGCCGTGGGAGGGCGGGGGCTGGGCTGGCCCAGCGCTCACTCGGCCGGGCCGACCCTTCCCGGGCACGGCCCCGAGCACGGCACCCGCCGCCCCGCCCGGGATAAAAGCCGCGGTGTTCCTAGGCCGAGGTGGATTTGTGCTCGGTTGCTTGGCGGCGCTGTCAGGCGCGGGGCATGGCGACCGCTGCGGCCAGGGCGGGGGACGAGGCGGCCGGAGCGGGTAAGGGCAGCCCCGCACGGGGGCGGGGGCTGGCGGGGCCGCGTTGTTGGGATCTCCGCTGTGTGCTGCGGGTCCCGAAAGCTGTAGTGGACAGGAGGGGCTCGGCTGGGGAGAGGCGGGGGCGCCCCCACCCTCCTCCCGGGGCTGAGGGGCGGCTCGGCCGCTCCCCCGTTCGCCCCCCGCGCTCTGCCCGTTCCAGGCGGGCTGGAGGCGGTCGGGGCAGCGGGGCGAGGAGAGCGGCGAGGGCACGGCTGCCCTCCCCGGCGAACAGGCCTGGCTCGGGGCAGGACGAGCGGCTGTCCATCGTGCTGGAGCATCCCGCAGCCTTGTGGAGCTTTATAGGCCAGGAGTTGAATGAAATAAGGCCCGTTTTCCCTGCGTTGGAGGGCTGAGAGGTCTTGGGGAGACAGCGCCTCTTCTGCGGGTGCAGTTCCTTGCTTCCTGCCAAACGAGTAATAAGGAATTCTGGAACATTTTCCTGGGTCCTGAAAGCCTGTTAGGAAATTCTCGTTCCCAAAGTATTGTACCAATGAGTCTTTATAGTATGAAATCATATTGATTTCTTAGAGCTGTATATCGTAGAATGCTTTGGGTTGGAAGGGGACCTTAAAGATCATCTTGTTCAATCCCCCCCACCGTGGACAGGGACACCTTCAAGTAGACCAGGTTGCTCAGAGCCCAGTCCAACCTGGCCTTGAACACTGCCAGGGATGGAGGAACTATATATGTAGTTCATGCTGCATACTGAATACCTGTGCTTAAGCAAGCAAAGGACCCCAGCTTGTTGCAAGGAGGAGGGCAGACCCTTTTGAAACAGGAACCTGTACTTCTCTGGATCTTGAGGGTGCTCACAAGCAATAAAGGGTACCCCCAGACAACAGGGATGAGATCCTTTAACACCTCTGGGAAACCCTCCTGTTGTCTGGTATCATCCATAAGTGATTATAGCAAGACTGACTGCAGGGACGTCTTGATCAATAGAGAAGCAGGTGGATGGTGACGCCGTAGAAATACAGTTCCTTGGCAAATGGATGTGTGTTAAGTAGCAGTTAGTCAGATCATGTTGTACCTGAGTGTTTGAAAGCAGTAAGAACCACTTGTGAAGCCACACTGCAGGTGTCCCAGTTTGAAAAGGGTACCTCATGTGTAAATAAAAGGATTACTGTTGTAATTCTGTACTGTGGGTCCAAGCCTCTCTCCTAGGTCCTCAAGGGCTGGTTGTGAATTTTTGTAACAAACCCTTGGATAAGTGGGCAGATGCAAAATTTCTCTGTTTAGCTAAAGTGACTAGGTGGTTGCAGAGGTGACTCCTTCAGTGGGAAACATGCAGTGCCTTCTCCCTGAAGGTGCGAAGATGGGAATGTGACTCTGGTGTTGCTGGCTCTGCATTACTGCTCTTCAGTTTGTCTTCACCCTTGGCATAGCTTAACCCTAAAAGCCTGTAAACTGTAAGAATATTAATATATATGGCATGGTGGGGTAAGAACACTATTTGGGACCTGCTGCTGAAAAAGGCAGCGTTTTTTACTGAGCAGATAGTGAGAGGAGAGCAAGCACTACGATGATGTTTGTACATAAAATACACAGCAGAAGCTTAATATGTGAAACTGATCATTATTGGGTGTCGCTATGGGTACCCAGTCATTCAAGCTCCTTGTAGATGGCAAATACTTGCCTTTTAACTTTATATAGTAACACTTTTTGCATGGAGCATTTTAATTGTGTGTTACACTATTAAGTGGTATGCTAGGCTATTTACAATTTGTTCCTGCCCAATGCCACCAGTACTGTAGTATAGTTGAAAGAATGGATTCTTAGTTCAGATGGAATGCCTACACATAGGTAGTTAGTTGTCAAACTGCTCAAAACTTGCAATCTCTGAAGACTTTAAAAACTGTCTCTTATGAAATTTGAGGTTTTGAGGATGACACCTTTAAATTTAGCTACCTTTCTTTTTTTTTTTTCCTCTGCTTCTCACTTCAGAGGATCTGTTACTGACTTTCCCAGAATTCTGTCTTTACTGTGACAGGGTCTGGTAGGCATATCTTTGAGTAACTGGAACTCTGAGGTGTTTGGACTGAAGTAATTTGCTTCAGTTTTACGTGGAAAAGAAACTTAAGCTGTATTTCCAAATTATTTGCATGCATCATAAAACAAATCAGTTTCTTTTGCATTGCTTTTTTGGTCTGTGTTCTCATATATAAACTTTTTTGTCTTTTTTCTCCTTTTTATTCTAAGGCTTAGTAGTCAACTGGTCAGGTCAAGGGTTGCAAAAACTGGGTCCAACCTTACCCTGTGATGCTGATACTCAGACTCTGATTCTGGACAAAAACCAGATAATTAAATTGGAACACTTGGAAAAATGCAGGAATCTGATGCAGGTCTGTATTACTTGGCTTGAAATTGCTATGAAATAATGGTACTGTGTTGTTAGCATCTTTGGCTTTAAGGCTGTATTATGTAATCAAAGTAAGCTAGCAGTTATTGTCTTCATGAAAAAATAAATGATGGCTAAAATAGAAAGCTTGGGTTTTTTTCAGTCTACATTTGCTTGTGGGGGAGGCTGTTTCGTGCATTACCTAGGCAACTAAAAATGAACTAAATAAATTGTAATTGGAAGGGGCATCATAAGAACACTTAGAACACTGGTAACCCAAATTTTGATACTACTTAGCTTTTGGATAGTTGGGCTTTGTAACATTAAAAATAACTTCGTATTATCACTGAAAGTGCCTCCAGATAAACTGGAAGCTAGCTGCCCAGTAGTTTCTACAGACAAGCTAAGCTGAGGTGGGAGAGGTGGGGTTTGTTGCTACAACAAACCTTCACCAGTGCCAGCTTGACAGTCATGTTACTGAAGTGTATATGTAATCAGGATCTCCTCTTTAAACAGTTTGTGATCTACAATCCTGCTAGCATAGGACTTTTTTGTTAATCGTGTGAAACGTGTTTTGTCCTCTGCCATATTGACAGTAAGTACGATTTTACTCCAGGAACAGGGCAACAATTTGCACAGTGAATTGGCAGTTCTGATTTTAAAATCTTATTTTCATATGACACAATTCCTCATTCTTTCTCCTTTATTTAGGTGTTGCTAGGAGAATTTCCTCTTAAGTTTACAGAGTGAGTTGTGAAGACAACGCTCTTTGATCAGTAATTTATTTCCTGGCTCTTGTGGGTTGTTTGTGTTATGTGCTTGGAAATTAAATACATAGATTGAAGAAGTTCCTGTTGGAGTCGATTTTTACCTATTAAACATAAAAGCCTCTTCTGTCTGCGTAGTTAAAACTTATCCTTTTATTTGTGTGTCCATCTGCAGCTCTCTGTAGCCAACAACCGTTTGGTGCGAATGATGGGTGTGGCAAAACTGACGAAGCTCCGGGTGCTCAACTTGCCTCATAATAGCATTGGGTACGTGGAAGGACTGAAGGATTTGGTGCACCTGGAATGGCTAAACTTGGCAGGAAATAACCTTAAGGTAAAGTATTTATTCTTTTGCATTTTCTAGAATCTAGTCTTGTAAAACTTTGGAAAATGCAGCAAAGAAATCTGAATATGTTTCTGGGTTGGACTGAAACCAAAATGTTAATGTTTTTTGTCTACTTTATGAACTAAAAGAGGGCAGCTTTTGGACTAGAGTTGTCTGGGGGAAAAAATAAAAGTTTTGATGTCAAAGTATAATGAGAATAAGGAAATAGTACTGAAAGAAGGAAAAAAACTATCATCTTTAAACGAAACTGTGTTAAAACGTGGGTTTTATTTTGGGTTACTTATCTAGTTGGTTTTTTAGCTTTCAAAATAATTTATAGTTATTGATACCTGGTTTTACTTAGTGACTAGAAGAGACTTACTGTAATTGACTTTTTTATTTTTGTAGGTCATTGAACAAATCAGTTCCTGTCTGTCTCTTCAGCATCTTGATTTGTCAGACAATAACATAGCTCAATTAGGTGATCTCTCCAAACTGACATCACTGAAGGTAGATGTTATTTTGTCTCTATTTTCACTACATTCTTTACATAAGGAAATTGCTGCCTTTTAAAAACATTCATTATTCAAACTAGGTCTTAAAGCATTTTAATGAATTACTGTCATATCTAAAGGGAAGCATGTAAGAATTCTTTTCCTTGTCTCCAAGTTGCAGGAACCAAGGCAGTGATTTTTCTATAACTTTCTATAATTTTGATAAAGATATGATGGTGAGATCTTGTTCATAGCTCTTTGTTCTCTTATCTTCTGTCATGAATCAAGACAAAGCATACTGTTAACTGTATTAGCATAAACACTGTAGATAAAAAAATGCTTCCAAATACATTTTTTGGGAACTGTGACCAGAAAGCCTTAATTATAGTTTTTTGCATGTTTTTTGCAGGTAACACCTGAACAAGAAATATGGGGGTTTTGATCAAACATACATTTCATCACCATATTCTTATTTTATAGACCCTGTTGCTACATGGAAATATTATAACTTCACTTCGCACTGCCCCTGTCTGCCTGCCTCAGAGTTTGACTGTTTTCTCTTTGGCAGAAAATGAAATCAGAGACTTAAATGAGGTAAAATATAGAAGATACGTCACCTTTCTTTTAAGTAGACCGAAAGCAGGTAGTTGAACAATTTTTTTGAAGTTGTAACTGAGAGTGGGCTCTCTTCAAAACAGCCCATGCTGATGGAAGTAACTTTAAACAGTTTATATGCAATAACTGTACTTGCATTAGCTGCATGAGCTAGATGATAGCTTTAAAATTCAGCCTGGAAAGAAACTTTGCCTTTTTTCTTTAATATTTTTTTTTTATTCAAGGCTGTCAAAAGTATACCTTAGGACACTAAATTGATAGCTTGTCATGACTGAAAGTTGAAAGCTGATCTGATTAACTGCTGCAGAGAGCTTCTGCAGCTACTGTGTTTAGAACAGAGGTTTGAATTGCACTTGTTGCAACTGACCTATTTTTCAAATACTGTATTAGAGAAAAAATAATCTGCCTGTGACTTTTGTCTTTATTGCTTTGTTTCTTTGTTTGTTTTAATATAAGTAGCAGCCAAAACTTGGTTGGGAGTTCATGTTGGAAGGAAAATCTTGTAATACATTTCTCTTCAAAACAGAACACTGTTTTTTCAGCTTTTTGGCTTGTCTTTTTTTTTTTTCTTTTAATCAAAATCTATCACCTGTTATAGTAAACTGTAATCACAGAAATACTATACTTTTCTATATATAAAGCTCCGATCCCAAATTTTAAGAGAAGCTAATACTTTTCAAGGGCTAACAGTGCTTACAGAAGAATTAGTGGGAAAATGGCAGTAGGTGATAGAAGGTCCTTTGTAGCTGTTTGTGTTCAAAACAGCAAATGTACTTTTCAATGTGTTTGTAATGCTGTTGTTTTGCATGACATGTCTGGCTGCATCTAGGAAATGTGATACTTTCTGTAAGCATTTAGTGGGTTCAGTTAACAAATGTGTCTTATTTTCTCAAGGTCTCTTTCCTGAGTTCTCTTCGTCAGTTGGAACAGCTGTCGATTATGAACAATCCTTGTGTGATGGCCACACCTTCTGTCCCTGGCTTTGACTACAGGCCTTATATTGTCAGCTGGTGTCTGAACCTTAAAGTTCTTGATGGATATGTGATTTCTCAGAAGGAAAGGTGACATAATAGTATTAAAATCTCTAAAATTGTTAAATAAAATTTGGCTAAGCTGAAATTGCCTTCTTAAATAATAAAAAAAATGAGAAAGTGCTAATGATATGAAATTCTGTGTTGCTAATGGCCATATGAGATACAGGCCAATTAACATTGGTGCTTTTGCAAGTTTTTCACCTGTTACACTGGAATTATTACATGAGATCACAAGTGTGTTTATGTAGAATTATAAAGTCAAGCTTTTGTTTTGTTATTCACCTCACAGTAGCACTTCTACAAAACTGGTAGCAATTTATCAGCGGTCTGTTAGCCTTTCCAAGCTTATAGCCTCTTTGTAGAATTTGACAATCAGCAGATATTAAAGCTGTAACTTGGGGGAAACTCAAACGTGCCCTTTAATAAAGGGTCTTATTTGCATGTGCATTTCTACATTTGACCTTTTTTTGGTGTCAAGTAGTTAAACGTTATTTTGCTCAAATCACTTGGTAGTGTATCATTGTGGTCACTTATATCACGATGATATGACAAAGTTCTTTACATCAGAACAATCCAAGCATAAATATTATCCAGTATAAACACATTCTAGTCCAGTACATGAATGTAGTCCAGGTCATTAATGTCCTTCTTTTCCCATTACTTAAATAAAAAGCTGCCTTTTTGGTCAAAGGTAAACCAACCTTATCTCTGTTTCCCCATAATATGTTGTAACTTTCCTGAAAGTTGTCTGATAGCATTTTAGACTTTTTTTGTTACTAATGGGGTTTTCTATATTGACTGTGTTACTGTATGTTGATGTGTTATATTAAATATTCTCAGACTGAAGTGCATTTAATTTAAAAGCAGATTTCAGTTATTGAATGCTTCCGACAAGATTTACTCACTGTGACTGTTTTGTATGTTTGTGTGAATTTTTTTGTTTCTATGAAAGCTTTGATAATAAATTCATTGACACAAACGTGTTTTCAGTGCTCAGAGACTACACACAGACAAAGCAGGGACTGCACAGTTTTGGACAGGGTTTTTGGATGCTTGTGTGAGTGAATACTTTATTCTTTGTTCTGGAAATGAAATTCCCAATTTTCCTGGGCACTGCACATGTTCAAGGTTTTGATTAGATTTGTAGATTAGCTCTTGGGTACCCCCTAGAGGAAGAGTATTGAGAGGAGACTTAGTGGTTTTATGCCATTCATTAATGGTGACCGTCTTTCCCCTTCCTAACAGTTTGAAAGCAGAATGGCTCTACAGTCAAGGTAAAGGAAGATCATATCGACCTGGGCAGCACGTTCAGCTCGTTCAGTACTTGGCTACTGTTTGTCCTCTCATATCTGCCTACGGACTCCAGACTGAAGAGGATGCCAAACTGGAAAAAATACTGAGTAAGCAAAGGTGAGAACTTACTGTTACTTTCCTAGAGAGTGTAATTGAGAGCATAACTATAAGTCTTATTTTATGTTAGATATAGTGATTAGAAAGTTGAGCAACAATAGTCCTGTGGTAACCAGGAGGGTGGTATCTCACCAAAAATGATGGAAACTTGGGAGCATCTGGAAGGAGTAACTGTCAGTGCAGATTGGCCTCCAGGCAGAAATTATAGAAATGTTGTGGCCATTTTGGAGGAGAAGGTGCAGTAAAAGCATATTGACCTTGGAATCTCTAGCTAAGTGCTCTGACATTCACATGATGTTTCTGGGGAAAACTCAGGAAGTTAGCTTGCTAAATATAACTCTAAAAATCTAAAAAAAGTCCCTAACAACCAAACCAAAAAAACCTTAGCAGAAAAAGCAATCCCCTGAAATTCCCACCTGTGTATATATGCATACACATGTATGATTTATAGGGCAGTTTGACCTCTACCTCATGATCTTCTAATTTAGCTGGGCTGAAACTACCTGTATGTTCTCTGGGGTTTATAAAGGATGATTTTAGGTTTGTGGCAATCTTTGTTCATTTGTACTGGGATTTTGTCCCTTTAGTAAAGGGGACACCTAATCCTTGATTCAGTCACTTTCAAAAATAAAAGAGACTCCTTCCATTCCTCAAACACCTACAGGCATAATGTATTCTACATTAGACACTTAAAATATCTGCATGCCTTCCTTGTGTGTAGAAGTACTTAATGATTTTTCAGTCTATAGTAAGAATTGAGTGTTGGGTTTTTCTCTTCTTTGTCTTTTTTTTTTTTTTTTTTATACATGTAATGTTAAAAAAAAAGGGGGCACAAGGAAGGGGAGCAGAAACAGACTGTGCAATCCCCTACTTTGTGATTAGCCCTGTTAATGTCTTGTAGGTATAGGGATCTGCATAACTGGCCTAGTGTTTAGAATATTTTGATCCCTTGTTTCCTTTGAAGTAATTGATATTTTTTTAGATGTTCTCCGTACTGAAAAAGTTTAAATACTAAATTTGTTGGAACCTTGTGCTTAGACTCCACCAGAGGCAGCTGATGCATCAAAACCAAAATGAGGGACCACCTACATCTGCTTCCAGCAAAACAGTGCCAGTTGCACATGAACACAGCAGTCCAGCCCAGCCACCACAGGTGGTTCTTCAAAGTGGTAAGAAGCTGATCTACACCTGTGATCTAACCTGTGGAAATAGATAGTTTTCAACACAGATAACTTTGTGGAGAGGATTTCAGAACAAGACCCTGTATTATTTTGTTCTATTGATTTTCGGGGACTTTTTCAACTGAAGTTTTACTTAATTTTCTAGAAATCTGTTCCGTGCTTATTTTTGTCTTGAAATGCTAGTAGGTTTGTTAGGTGAAAAACACAGTCCAGTGCACACAAAGTTATTACCTTGTTCCATTTTATAAAAGTTGACTTCTCCAATGGGATGCAGTTTGTGCAATTTACTGTATCCAGTACTTGCCAAGTTTGTGGATGTTGCTGTGTTAAGGAGTTGTTTTCCTTATATAGAAATAATGCCCACCTTTACTAGCATTTTAGATCATCTTATGCACCTAAGTGTTAACTATCAAAACCAGATTGTGAATCCCTATGAATTGAATGAAGATGTTATTGAAATACTGTAACACTTGAATGTGGCTTTCTGCCTATCTAGAACCTGTCATCCAGAAGAATTCTTGGGTTGGACCAAGTGCAAACAGTGATCATTCCTATGCTGCAAAGAACACTTGTCCCCTTGAAAGAAGCTTTCACAAGGATCTATACCTTGAAGATATACAGACAGATGAAGACAAACTAAACAGCAGCCTTTTATCCTCAGAGTCTACTTTCATGCCAGTTACTTCAGGATTGTCTCCAGTGTCTCCTGCTTCAGACGTGAAGTTACGTGGAATCAGTTTGGGCCTAGGAGATGATGATGATACAGTGATTGAATGTGTGAAGGATGTTAATAGTAGAGAAACAACTAACAAGCAAAAAGCTTCGTGTGTTACAAGAGAGCACACAAACAGAGCAGTAGGAAGTGTGGAAACGCAAGAGAAGGTCAAAGAGGTTGTGGCGTTGCCTTCTCCTGACCCAGCAGCAGCTGGAGTGGCTGCTAATACCAGCAACTGCTCATTGTCCTCTGAAGACCATCTTCTTCATAGTCACCCCAGCACCTTGTTAGGTGCTAAATCAGGAGTGAAAACTCTCTGTCCTGAGCAGATGACAGGAGAAACTTCTGATTCATTAGCTGTTGTTGACCAAGGTGCAGCTGAACTGCAAAGGATGGCCAAAGCAGCTACCAAGCTTCAAGCTTGCTGGAGAGGATTTTACACGAGGAACTACCATCCTCGAGCCAAGGAAGTGCGGAACGAAATTCGACTGCACAGAATGCAGGAACACATCATTTGCCTAACTCACGAAATCGAAAAGTAAGTTGAGATCGTGCTATATATTTTCAAATCTGTGCAAATATAACCATCACTCCAGGGTATTTCATAACAGGTCTAAATGGGTCTTGATATAAGTACTCACAGTAGAACCTCTCATCAGAAACATAAAATGGTGATTACATTTATAGGGTCACTTCCTGTAAGGTAAGCACAGTTGTGCACATACTCTCAAAGAGCCTTCTATGAGTGGGTTGAGTTAGAACACACTTTTCTATTCCTCTGTTAGCAGGACTTGCATATTTCAGTGGATAACCAAAATAGAAATTGTTGAGTTGGATTTTTTTTTTTACTTGTCTGTTGTCTCCTAGCAATTACAGAGTCTATAAATGAAGTGTCCATATTGAGTTGTTCCTCTGTTGCTGGTGAAAAAAAGAATTCCCTCTGCCATGTATGATACAATCTTAAAACATGATTGTGTTTTGTCCTATCTGTATTTTTTGATCCTGAGAGTCCATGTGTGGATAAGATCATTATCTTATCCACGCAAAGTTCCTCAATTTGTAAGATAGAAATTCTGGATTTACTTATTAGCCTGGGACTGTCAATCTGACAGGCACTTTTTCTTTACTATCACAAGTGACATAAGTTCTGTGAAACAAGCTGAGTGCTCAGTAAACTTCTAGAAACTCCCAACGCTTACGTCCAGGTATCAGCTGGGGAGAGCATAATTTGAAATGAAGAATTACTGAGGGGAATGATGATAGCTGTGCAGGAAAAAATAAGAGCTCAGGTTCAGTTTACAAAAAGACACATAAATTATTGGCAAGCCAACAAATGTGCTGCAGTAAAAGGAAGCAGAATCTAAATGTGACTGAAAAAGAAACTTGAAGTCAGCAGCTGGGTATTGATGGCAAGCCAGACTGCAGTAATTTCTTAATGTTAGGCTCTGTTGTATCTTTCAAGAGTGCTGTTATATAAGTAGACATTTTTATATATTCTTGTTGCTCTCTTACCCAAATGTTGCTTATTTAAGATGCATAAATTTTGGCTGCGTGTTCTTGCAGACTAAGAAAAGAAAGAGAGGAAGATAAGATGCAAAGGCTTGTACAGGAGGAAGCTGTCAGATTTCTTTGGAACCAGGTAAATAGTTTTAGTCCTGTTGTTTTTCTGCTTATATGTGAATTTGAAAGTCATTATTTCATACTGTAGCTCCTGAGGAGATAGTCAATGTAGTTTACTTTTCCCACTGATGACTTGAGTGGCTTTATAGAGTCTAATTGCCATGCTGTGTGCTGTATTCTTATTCTGGGGGAAAATAACCTTCAGAAGGATTGGTGCAAGAATACTGGATTTGTTACTAAAGGCTAAATTGTGGCCTAGTGTGAGAAGGCAGACAAAATGCAAGGGAAGCTAAACAAATGTAGCAGAACCGTGAAGAACGATGTGACTGCTAAATACCCAGGGCAAATGAAATGTTGTCAAGCTGTGTTGCTTGTGAGCAACTCATTTCTGAAGTAGGAAAGTTATTAATACATCTTTTAATAAGCTATTCATCCAAAAATAAGACTGTTTTCTTAAGTATTGATTATTGCATAATGGTTACTTATCCTTTCTGGTTTTAAGAACAGATTCCTTTTGCTTCAGGTACTTGAACTGAGAACTTGTGTACTCTGTCAGGGCTTCTAGGTTTAAAAGCCATGATTTAACAGTGGGAAGAACAAAATTTCCCTAAGAGTATATCAAGCCTTTTGTATGTCTCTTATCTTAGATTTTATGCTAGTGCTTGGTTGCTGAATCCAAGAAATGCACTAGGGGTCAAAGTACTTCTAGTTGTACTTCATAATGAATTTATCTCTATGCTTTACAGGTTAAATCCCTTCAACAATGGCAGCTTTCAGTGATGCAAACTTTAGGTGCTACTGGGACCCCTTCAGCCAGTATTTTATGCTTATCCAAACCACCTATTCAGTCATCCACACTTGAGCAAGAAGCCCCCCCAGATGTTAATTCTGCTTTGTTAGTTTCAGCTAGTGATGATCTTCAGGAGAAGTCCTTGTTGCAATTCCCAGATTCTGGTTTTCATTCTTCTGCAGCTGATCAGACTCACGCCAGTGATCTGTGCAGTTCTGAAAAGAGCTTAGCTGAAGAAACAGAGAGCTCTCTCTCCATGGAAACTGTCAAGCAATGTGGCACTTCTCTTTCAGCATATTCCTCAGATGTAGAGGATGGCCATGGGGAAGGTGGGCAAAGTAAAGAGAGCTCTAGTAATGAGCAGGACAACGGACTAATACAACAGTATTTGAAATCTGTTCAGCAGCTGGAAGAGGCTGATGAAGTGACAGATTGCAATGAGGAAATGGAGGGCAGCTGTCCACAAGTCGCTGTTTCAGCAGAAAGCCAGGATTCTTCATCTGACACTATCTCTCTAGATCTCCCTCAAGATAGATCTTCCCCTATCCAAGGTGAAATCAGTCAGACATCAGAAAGTTATAAACTGGATTCAGAAATGGTAGAAGGGAAGCAAACGGACTGTGATTCTTCATTTCAGATGCTGCATGTTGGAATAGCTGTATAATAGTTTCAGTTCCACAAAGGACTAGGGATTCCATTTCACTTTCCATTTCAATTTTTCTCATTTATACAAAACTTATTTTTCATGTGTGCTGTTTCAGATTTTGACACGTTACCAATTTATGTTGTATTTAGTATTTTATTGATGTTGCTGAGAACTGACACTAACTATAATACCCTGAAATCAGCAAAGTTCTCAGTGACAATCATTATGCGCTTTATTTTCAAACATAAAACTGGTATCTTAATAACTGGCTTTCATTAAATTAATTCTGAAGATTGGGGCTGTGGGTAGCAGTGGTAGTGTTTGCTGTAAATTCACTTGAGTGAATGTGTTAGTAAGTATTAGATTTTTTTTTTTTCTACAAAGAAGGACTAAGTTCTTAGGCAGTGTATCCTGTCACAGGCAGGATATGGTCTGATGAGAAAGATGGAAGAAGTTGCTTTTCAGACCTTTTGACTTTAACAAAAGTAGTTTGGTCAGTGTATAAAAGATGCATTCCAGAAAACCAGTGTCCAAGTCAGTGACCTTTTTGGAAATAACTTGAAGCTGCTGGCTAGGAATTAGGTCATTTACATATGCACTGAAACAGGGACTTAAAGGAGAGACCTTAGGGAGCTTCAAACAAGCTTTGGCCTTTGTTTGCCCTGGGGTTGAATTTCCCTGCTTTCTCAGGTAAGACTCAAAGTAGAACCAGCAGCAGCCAGGACTAAATAAGACTTTCAAAAGGGCATATGATTTGGGAACATCATTTCCAAGGCTGCACTGTTGAATTACAGCAGCAGACTTGCTGACATGTTTCGCTCCACAAAGACGCTGATGTCACTGTGGGGTTTGGATCTGCATGGCTTTCAAGACAGTGCGTTTTGACGGATCACAACTACTCCTACCTACAGGTATAAATATTAAAAGTAAATGCCATGACTTAAAACTATTTTTGATATTTCTGTTGGGTTTTTTCCTTGTTTCTTTCCCCCTGTATGTCCAGTATTTGACACTTATACTAGATGTGAATAAAAAGATGTATTTCTTCACAGTTAGCAAATATACTGAAATACCTAGGCTATGCTTTTCACTTAAACACTGGGCAAGCAACAGAGCTTGTATCTTACCTAGCCATTACTGTGTTGGGCTTTTTAAAGAAAAAGGGTCAGGTACCTTGGTGAACAGCAAAAGTGGCAAGGCAAATCTGGTTTTGCCATGGTGTTTGTGATGGACACTAATGAAAAAAAAATGTGATGTTGTGACTTACAAGGGTCAGTTCAGTTTGCTAATGCTGCAGTACTCAGTGTTTACTGGAAGGCCAGTGTTTCAGTACTTTGCTAATCTTTACTTCTCAGTTGTAAAGACACATGCTTATTTTAATTCTCTGAATCCACAGGTTAACTTCTGGTGCTATGGTGTCATTAAAATCAACTAGTGCTGTTTTAAAGTGACTCTTATGGCCACATTACCAGGTAAAATAATTTAGTGTTTGTAAAAGCTTTGGTTGCTTGTCTACTTCAGGTTCTGAGCTGAAATTTGCCACTGCTCAGGAGTTTGGTATGAGGCCAGCATCTGCTTGAGGCCTTAAAATAGCCTTTATGTAGAACATAAATGGTGTATTGGACTGGTACCAGCCATCTGCCCTGTGGTGAAAGTTCACCTTGGAAGAATAAAGCTTGCCTCTGTGTACAGAGCAGCCATCATCTGTTTTTCCCTATCCCAGAAAAAATTCTAGAGCACTAACCTCTCGAAAGAGCTGTCACTGCAGTCAGGCTGACATTTGACTGTGCCTTGCATACATGGTAACATTTAAGAAAAAACCCCAAGTAACTGAGTTGATAGGTTCTTAATGGGCTATCTCTCTGCATTTCGTTACAGCACATTTGTAGCATACCCGTATTCATAATCAGAGCACAATTGTGCTTGGGTGCTGAAAGTGGTACAGGTGCATTAATGTATCACAACATCTAAGTAGTTGTGCAAAGAAGTGTGATAGTCCACATGATTGTATCCTTGCCCTCTGAAAGTTCTGAACTTGGGTTTAAATCTGTCATGCTTGGGGATCTGCAGTTCATGGGACTTGGCTCTTTGACTGTCAACGTGTTACATTAAGAACAAATCCCATGTAAACCTTTAAAGGGATTTTCTTTGGGTTTTGAGAGTTAAATTATTTCAGTCTGTGAGATAGTTGTTGGACCTTACACTCCAGAGGCAGTGGTTAGATGTAATCTCTTTTATGGTAGAATGTTTTATTTGCATTTGCAAGACCTGGGAGAAACTAGACCACTGCCTGGATAAAAATGTTTCATTTACTGAAGACACTGAGGGAGCATAGATATTTTGCTATTTTGTATTGTCACTTTTGCTGCAGAGTCAGAATGAGGAGAAACAGCTTGAATTTTGGAGGTGTCAGAGGGGGAAAATTTGATGAAAGTTAATTTTTTGTGGGAGCCCTAGATGTTTCTTGACATTTCGTTTATTATTAGGACTTGAAAGTGCAAACACAAACACAAGGCAGCATTTCAACTAATGCCTAGGTCAGCTGTTGTCCTTATTAACTTGTAACCTCTATATCCAAAGGTGGTTTTATGCAGGTACAGCGAAGCATGTACTGACGTATGATCAGCTTTATCTTTTTTGGGGAAACTGTGAAATGGAAAAACACTTTTTTTCTGATGTTCCGAAAAGTATCTTGCATGTGTAGAAGATGAGTTGCCTAAATATAGAGAAATCAAAGAATGGTGAAGTTTTGGATTAGTTTTTATAGAATTAAATGTCATTAGTTTGTATATACAGAAAATATTTTCATCCTGACCATTCAAATGCATTCAGGGAAAGACGTAATGAGGGAGGGATACAGTGGAAAAACAAGGAATAAAGCTGGATGTATACTTAAAAATGGCCTCTTTCAGTCCTGTTTTGAGCTCTCAAAGAATCATGATGCAGAAATATCATAGTTAACATGGCTTTACATTTACTCACCTTTGTCTAGATATGTTTTCTTAATCTAGGTATGTAATATTCTTTTATCTGGATAGGGATGCACAGCTCCCTTTGGAGATGATGGAAAATTCATAAAGGAATTGGAAGGCCTAAAGTGTGAAAATCTGTGTCTGAAAATTTCCTGTGTTAATATTGTATTCTTTCAACATTTTCCTTTTGCAAGGCTTCGTATTCAACAGAAGAGTGTATTGGTACAATAAAAGCTTGTCCCTTGTGTTTTGTCCTGAGCTGATCCTCCAGTTGTAATGGGAGAGGTAACTAATGGTTATTTGCCAAGCAATGTTGTCAGCTCTGCCATGAGTACAGTTTAAATGCTTCTTTTATTTGCTTCAGAAAAATCAGCTAAGTATAGCTCAGACTGTTTAAACTGCACCACACAAGTAGTTTTCCCCCAAATGAGATAACTCCCAAATTTTCCCCCAAATGAGGCCCATGCAAACCTATTCTTGTCTAGTCTGTGGCAGAAATTAGTCTTTTGTCTATTTTTCTGAAAGTAGGGACAAGTGGTTTTATGTCATAAAGCAAGAAGGCATTAAGACTGCAAACTTTATTTTGCTGCTTCTAAACCACAAATATCCTTCAGCAAATACTTGAGAAAGTCCTTGTTAAACTAAATTGCAGAAGCCTAACAATTGTTGATAGTGAAGTTTCTTAAACAACCATAGATTCTACTATTTGCATGCAGCAGTTTAAATAATGCATTTAGCAGCCAGTCTGTATATAAAAAAAAGTTGGTTTTTTTTCTGAATAATGTTTGTATTCGAGCTTGCAAATTGTTCTTGTTTTTTATGAATTTGTATATATCGTCTGAAGAATTCCAATCTTAATTTCTACTTGTAGCAGGTCATTTGATGAACAAAAATGGAATATACATTCCTTTGAGACTACCTGGGTAATTTTTACTGGACTTGATGTTCCATTGTGTCTCACATAGATACACTTTTTCCTGTGAGGATAGAATTGTAGCATTGAGTGGAGACTGACTAAATGACAATAAAATGTAAAAACTGGTCAGTTCCCCTGATAGTGGAAAAGACTCTTTCCCCCCCTCCCTGCCCCCCCTCCCCGTTGTATTAACTTCCCCCCCTTGAAGACTGTGCCACCTGAATAAGTATGCATCAAGTATTCATGAAGTCTTTTGAAATATCTTTTTTTTTCATAGTTACACTTCTTTCCCCCAGATTGATTTTTCTGGGGCAAGTTACTAAGAAACGCTTGCTTTCTATATGCCTACTGAAAAGTTGGGACTTTGTCTGTTTTTAATTGTTTTCTTTATGTCAGTAATGGTAGAAGCACAGGATCCTTTTCTTGCAAAAATATAGAACAGTATTTATCAGGAAAGGTGCTTTATCTCTTGGAAAGTGCCACACCAAATTTTACTGTATAAGAGCTCTCAGTAAGAATCTTCCTTTTTGGCTTCATTACATTTCTAAGTATATGGGCTAAATTCACTTGTAGCATAATTCTACTGAACTAAATTTGGTTGAGTCTTTCACAGTAGTAGTCTACCTCTAAAATTTGAGAAGAAAGAACAATTGGGCATTGATTTGTCTTTCTACTCCTCGCTGTTTTCTGTGAAGAATGGTGGGTGGTTAAATTGGTACCGTTCATATGTTTTCTATAAGTGTTTACATTTCTGGATTTATTGTTTCTTACGTATTTTGTTTGTATCTCTGAGTTTTGAATTTTAAATAAATGATTTGTACATTTATTGAAAACTTTAAGGTGTACTTGATCTTGACTCTTATGGCTAGTAGTCATCTTTTGATTGGAGGGCTCTTTTAGAGATGAGATGGGAAGTGTGGTAACAGAAACATTTGATAACAAGGTAAGCATTAGCATTCTTTACTTGGTACAGCTGAGGCATTCCATGGCCACTGTTCCATTCCATGGCCACTTGCAGTGCTGAGGAGAGTAGGAGTGTAGTGAGGTACTTCAAATGTGTTCACCAACCTCACAGAAACTGGTGTTCATGATTTGCAGTCCTTTGGTTCGGCTGCTGGCCCTCTCTTTTGTGTTCTTAATTCCCTGCTGTGTTTAAATGAAAAGATGTGGCAGTGGTAGTATTCTGTATAGTTTTCTAGAAAGAGAATTTAGACTAAGGGCTTATTAAGAGAAACACAGTTGCAAAGCACGGTGTTCCCTTTCCTACTCTTTTGGTTTGGTCAGATAGCTGCACTGTTCTTAAGCAAATGAAGATTAATTAAACGTCTTTAAGGCTTTAACAAGGAACTCAGACATACATGAAAGTCATGTTTTACTGCAACACAGTCTTCCCAAAAGTTAAAAAAAATAAACAAACAATGAAAAGTCCCCCAAACAAACAAACAAAGCTAACTTTGCTTTGTTTAGCTCATTTCACATGTGGAGGTTAGTAGGCATTTTTTAACTCTGTACTATGTGTTTCTACTTCATTACACCAAGAAAAATAGCTGAGGTTTTTAAGTAGACTTAGACTCTTCTTGTTCTTCAGTGAAGGTATTTACTGTGAGGGTGCTGAAGCAGTGGAACAGGTTGCCCAGAGAAGTTGTGGATGCCCCATCCCTGGAAGTGTTCAAGGCCAAGCTGGATGGGGCTTTGAGCGACCCAGTCCTGTGACCTGCCATGGGCAGGAGTGTCCCTGCCCAGAGCAGGGGGGTTGGAACTGCATGATCTTTAAGGTCTCTTCCAACTCCAACCATCTTAGGCTTCTATTTAAAAGACAGAAAGAGGCATAGCTAAAGTAACTTCAGGTCTGAAAAGAGAAGATCAATGCTGTTTTCTCTTGGAGTAAAGACCTTAAAACTGTACTACTAAGTTTAAATGCTGTATATTGTAGGGATAGTAACCATAACACTTGAGGAGCTCAGGTTGAAGGTCCCTCTTGTCCCTGTTTTTGATTCACATCTGTAATAAGATCAGAAATTAAAATATTTGGTTAGATTTGGAAAACAAAGGAATATCTAATGGATGGACCCATCTTTTTTTTTCAAAAGGAGGTAGTTAATTTTAATTTTATGGCTGAAATCCTTATATGTCCCCTCCCAACTTTCTGTGCACTCTCAGCCCACCTGCAGAAAAGCTCTATGTAAGCTCAGCTCAGCAGTAGCCAAAACATCTCTATTGACAGGGGGAAAAAAATCAATACCAAGTATTTTTCAAAATACTGTCTTAAACTATTTTGCTTACACAGACAAATGCCTTTCAATTCTTAACCTACAGTGTATAGTACTAATAAAAGCTTGTGCCTGTGGAGAATTTGCTTTCTATCTATACCGGGTAACCATCATTGCAAGTTGCAGAAAGGAAGAGAAATACAGAAGTAAGGTAACTTATTGAAAATAGCTATAGCTGATGGGGGTGGGGGCAGAAGAGTAGCGAGGCTATTAATATTTATAGTGGCTAAAGTACTTTGTTCACAGCAATATTTCAGCTGCTCTGTCTCTCTTCCATGTTCTTCACTAAAAATAAGATTGAGCCCTTACCCTGTACTGCAAACAACTGCTAGCAGGGGAATGTTTCGGAAAGAGACATTCCCCAACTTATGCAGTGTTTACAAGTGATGGCAAAGCCATTGCAGATGTCCTGTTGGCAGCTCTGGTGCAGGGTGCTAAACTCAAGGCTGGCTGCGTGCATCTCCTCACACATCTTGGAGTCCTGCCTTCACTGCAGCTGCGTTTGCCGGACTCTGCTGTGCTGTGCCCTGCCTGTGCCCCCTGCTCGGCCCCGCAGCTGGTCTGCGGGCCAGCTCTCCCCCTTTCCAACCTCCCGGCTGGCCAAGGCGCCACCTCTCCCGCTCCCTGCTCCACTTGCCTCCAGGCTCTGCAGCGTTTGAGCTGCGATGGTTCCTCTCAGTTCTCTCTCCCTAGACCGGGGGTGCGGCTAGGGGGTCCCGGTAATGCCATATGCGTGCCAGTCTCTCCCCATCCTTCTGCCTTCGGCTTCACCCACTGTGGCCCAAAAATGATAGGGACTTGGTTTGAGGCTTTTCTCTGCGGGGAAGGGAGACTATTGAAGGTTTTCTTTGGTGTTGGGTTTTTTTGCTTATGAGTGTGTGGGTTTTTTTGGTTGGTTGGTTTTGTTTGTTTGTTTGTTTCCCTTCTCGTTATCCAGCGCCCTCCTCAGCAAATAGGATGTCCCCAAGCGAGCGCCTGCGGTGCCGGGGCTTTCCCTGCCCTCAGGATGCGGCGCCGGCAGCCGGGACAGACCCATTACCGGGGCGGGGCGGGAGGAGGCGGTGCCGCCGCCGCCGCCGTGTCGGGGGCGGGGAGGAAGGCGGGGCGGCGGGGCCGGGGGATATACGGCGAGAGCCTCCGGGCCGGGGGCGAGGCCGCCGCCTGGCCCGGGGGAGCGGCGGGGTTGCGGTGAGGGGGCGCGGGGCGGCGGCGGGGCCT